CACACACACACACACACACACACACACACACACACACACACACACACACACACACACAGAGAGAGAGAGAGAGAGAGAGAGAGAGAGAGAGAGAGAGAGAGAGACAGATTACCCCGCTGCTGCACCACCCGCGGGCGAAGCCGCGGCGGGTCCACTTGTATTATCAAAAAAAGAAGCTGGAAACTGGCTCCAGTGTCCCTTACATCAGAATGAAGTTCTCACACGATGCTTCTCTCCATTATGGTTGAGGGACTCTGAGATGACAGCATTGATCGCTCCTTGCCAGGAGGATATACCTCCACACTCCACCCCTGTTCCTCGTATTTACCAATCCACTTTTCCCCAATCCATCTCTCCTCCTCTTTTTGCTCCTGCTTTTGCTCCTTTGCTGCTGCTGTGTCTCTTTTTGTGGTTGTGTGATCACATCTCTCCACCCGATAGGGTGTTAGCTCCCATGCATGTTCTTCGCTAGCTGAAAACCAGACACTTTATCAACTGGTTGTCATCACTTGTTCAATTTACAAGTCATTGATGGGTGCTACTTGTGTTTGCTATTCAGGGAAGTAGCAAGTAGCAAGTTATTACCCAGTGCATCCTCTGTTTGTGGGGGCGCAGGCAGCAGAACCTATTGAGGTTGATGCTGCATCTTTTGTTTGTGAGGCACAGGCAGCAGAGCCTATTGAGGTTGGCGCTGCATCTTGTATTTGTGAGGCACAAGCAGCAGAGCCTATTGAGGTTAACGCTGCATCTTCTGTTTGTGAGGCACAGGCAGCAGAGCCTATTGAGGTTGATGCCTCATCTTCTGTTTGTGAGGCACAGGCAGCAGAGCCTATTGAGGTTGATTCTGATCCGAACTCATGTTCTTTTGCAGGGACAGAGATGGCTTTGAGTGCATCGAAGTCAGAGCTGATCGCGAAACTAACGTCAGGAGGTTCTGCGGCGAGAGAAGCAGCCCTCGGGGCACTGCGAAAGGCCGGAGTTTTGTCATCAGGACCATCTGGACATCCGCAGCCAAGCATTGAGAACGGTTCCAATCATACTGCTGGGAAAGGGGAAAGGGAAGGTCCGCAACAAGCCAGCCACCCCATGCACCAGCAGGACATGTCGGCAGGAGAGAAAAGCCCTGGTGCAGTTAAAGAGTCAGCTATGGCAGCCATAGATGCAGACTTGCATGTGCCCGGTCAACTAGTCCATCTGGTAAGGAGAACGGGCTCAGGGGAGCGAACAGGTACGACCGAAGGCGGCAAGAATATTCCACATATGGAAGGTGGAAACAGTATTCCAAATGAAGGCAATGGGATGGATACGGACGTCGTGAAGATCTTTATAGGCCCCGTTGAGAATCGATTTGCCAGAATTATTTTGTCAGACACAATGGTGTCTGATCACAGGTGTTCGAACTACTGGTCCGCTCTACGGGACGCGCTGAAGACCACCTAGATGTGTTTTGAACAGCCACCCTACTCTCGCTTGCACCGCTGAGGATAAACCAGTTTCTGCACATGGGACAATGGTGTCTGATGACAGGTGTTCGGACCACGTGGTCCCGCTCCACGCGACACTGTGAAGGCCATCTAGATGTGCTTTCGACTGCCACTCTATTCACGCTTCCACCTCTGCGCATGAACCAGTTTGTGTGTGTGGAGGAAAACTGTGCATGACACAATGGTGTCTGATGACACGCGTTCAAACTACTGGTCTGCTCTGCGGGGCGCTGTGAAGGCAATCCTAGATGTCGTTCGAACTGCCACTGTATTCTCGCCTCCACCTCTGGGCATGAACCAAGCACGGCAGACGGAAGAAAAACTGTGGCTGGTAGATGTGGTTTGAACTGCCGCTCTATTATTGTTTCCACGACAGGTGTCCGAACTACTGGTACTGTCCGCAGGATGCTCTGAAGACGATATGGATGTGGTTCTAAACTGCCGCTCTATTATTGCTTCCGCATCTGACCAGGAACCAGTTACTATGCATGGCGAAGAAAAACTGTGGTTGACACGATTGTCTCTGACGACAGGTGTTCGACATACTGGTGCGCTCTATGGAAGACAATGTATATGTGGTTCATACTCCCACTCTATTCTCACTATCACCTCTCATCAGCCTGGGCCCAGTTTCTGTGGATGGAAGAAAACCTCTGGCTGCCGAAAAATAGCCAATCCTACGGTCCAAATGTAAAGCCAGAGGCCCCCAAATAACCAGGGCAGTGAAAGAAAGGAGTGGTGCTTGAACTATGTTTCCACTTGGTTGAGGGGGGAGGAGGGGGGGGAGGAGGGGGGGGCGGTTCCTGAAGACAATCTAAAAGAGGACAATGTTCTTGTCGTCGATCGAGAACGGCCGAAAGAGAGACAATGTCCCTCGCTCCACCACTCAGCATTCGACAGGTATCTGGACTGTCAAACAGACGACATACGTTTGGACTAATCAGTATCAGACCTGTCTCTGTCACTAGATGCATTTAGCATGCTGGGGGTTCCTGAAGACAATCTAAGAGAGGACAATGTTCTTGTCGTCGATAGAGAACGGCCGAAAGAGAGACAATGGGCCTCGCTCCGCCACTCAGCATTCGGCAGGTATCTGGACTGTCAAACAGACGGCATACGTTTGGACTGATCAGTATCAGACCTGTCTCTGTCACTAGATGCATTTAGCATGCTTTGTAGTGGAGTGAGGCCCAATGCGTCGTGTTCCACCCCACCAGGAGATTGTGTGGTTCTGTATCATCAAGGTCATCTATGCCCCGACCAGTTTCTACAGATTGAAGAAAAGCTGTGGCTGACTAATCAAGTTCATTCAACAGACCCCAAATTCGAAACCAGGGCGGTCACAGAAAGGAGTGGTGTTTTAATTGCGTTTCCACTCTGCGGGAGGTCCTGACGACAAAGGACGGCAGGATAATCTGCTTGTCGACGTTGTCGTCTGAAGAGAAGAGGGTGAAGGAAGTGGCAATCAACCAACTGAAAAGGCAGACCAGAGTAACCAGGGCGGTCACAGAGAAGCGTAGTGGGAGGCGCTGAAGACAATTGAAGACAGAATAATGTGCTTGTGGACGTTGTCGTCTGTCGAGAAGAAAGTAAAGGGACAATCAATGCCAATCAATGTGTTTTGCAACTTTGCTACTCCAGCAGGAGGTTTCATTGGTGCTACTACATCGTGGCCGTCTATGACGATGATTTGTTTCTAGTGCACATCAGCAACCCCCAATTTCTGTAAGGGAGGACAGAACTGATAATAAGGGTATAATACGACACGAGGTCTTTTCTTGTACGTATCTGACTGCTTTTTCTGGTCAGCTCTGGATGCACCTGGCCACAATTTTGCTTACAGTGCAGTGGGAAAAGTCCTTAGTAAGAGTATGGCCCAAGTCTTTTGTCTGGGGCATGAGACATGTCTCAGAGCCTACTCACACAAGGACTTTTTCGACTAAGCTCTGCACGTAATTGCAGCCAAATACATCCAGACTGCGCTGTAAGAAGTCTGAGCGCGAGTATGCCCTCACGACATTCGGCATATGATGATGTGACTGTAACATACTTTCTTATTTTGGCCATCGCATGGGCGAAAATTCTGTCTAAGCAGTTCACAGCAGGCTGCGATGGCATCGGCTGGTAAAAACCGGATAGGACATCCTTACCCAGTTCTTTAAAACCACCACTTCCTCCGAGCGTCTTTTTGCCGAGGCGGATTCCTCCTGCGGGCCAAGTTTGTTTTTTGCTGAATGACCTTATGCACTTCTTTAAAACCACCACTTCCTCCGAGCGTCTTTTTGCCAAGGCGGATTCCTCCTGCGCGCCAAGTTTCGCTGAATGACCAGAATGGCATTTTATTTTTCTTTTGGTTGGCACCGCCAGCCATCGGGGTTCCCAGAAAATCGTACTTCCAGCTCCTGGAGCTGCAGAGGAAAGCTCGTGGTCGTTTACCACCACCGCTGCTTACGGACTTTCAGTTCTTGGGGTGGAAACCCGCAGCTCAAGCCTGTCTTCTTAGAAAAGGCAGCGGATGTGTTTTACAGGGATTGACAATACAGACACAGTTTTCGTGGCGATCCAGGAAGCAGAGCTGCAGATGATCCTAGCAATTCAGTCGATACTAGATGACCTAACAAAGGTGTCCCTGGTGGTGGCTTAAGGAAGGTAGGTTTCATTTGCAATCAGTGTGCATGCAAAACAGTGTGCATGCAATCAGTGTGCATGCAATCAGTGTGGATGCAAAAGGCCACGCCAATTTGATGGTGGTCAGTTGACCGGGCCATCTACTTTGTTCAGATTCTCTGTACATGTACCACTCAAGGGGAACAAAATGGTAGAAAGTGAAGGGGAGTCAGTGTGCTTCAGCACGAGCGTTTGGACCATTGATGGGATGTTGGCTACTATTTCATGTTTGTCAGATCGACTCAACTCTGCTGCTTCTGCTGCTGCTGCTCTCTCTCTCTCTCTCTCTCTCTCTCTCTCTCTCTCTCTCTCTCTCTCTCTCTCTCTC